GCTTCGGGGACAGCACCGCCTGCAGTCAGGTATTATTGGGCGGGGGCATGGTTGTGTAGGGGGCGTGGTTTGCTGCGGCTTCGGGGACAGCACCGGCTGCAGTCAGGTATTATTGCACTAACCTAGCAATATGGACCATCATGCATTGCGCGAAAGGAAATGGAAATGGAGATGAAGGAGAGAGCGGAAAAATTCCTGTTTGTTTTGTTAAATTTAATTTTATCTGTGCAGTAGGGCTGGTCCTAATGGCAATTCTCCGGATATTTGGTGCGAATTGCCAGCGAATATCCCAACATTCGGCGTGGGGGGGGTGACGTCACACATGTCAGCGTTGATAGGCGTTCGTGATACAGCAAGCCGTGGCGACGGCGGGGCGGTGCGCTGTGCGTCCGCTGTGTAGCGGCGGCGGCGGGGGGAAAGAGAGAGTGCTGTGTGGGCGGTGATATTATTATATGTGTAATATATATCAATAAAACACGTTGCTTCTTTCTTTCTTTACATTACTCTTTTGTTTATTTATTCACGCAGTTTCAAAAACTCTATTACAAATTCAAAACAAAATTACTAAATGACCAATGTCACAAACACCAGTACTATGTAATTTTTTAAAAAATATCTAAGTGAAAACAAAAACGTAGTGAACAGCAGTACATATTTATATGTACTACAACTGACATTTATAGAGATCTACAGTCTCTTCATATTGTGTGCAAGGAATATGAGTTTGTCCACATTTTGTGGCAGAAGCGAGCTCCTGGCTTTGTTCACTATGTAGCCAGCCTTGGAGAAAATGCGCTCCGATGGCGTGTACTGCAGTACTTGGCTGCTAATTCCAGTGTAGGATAGCGGTCACAGTTTTGTTTCCACCATCCAAGAGGGCCACACTGGACTCTAGTTGAGTCCGCCGAGTACAGCTCCATTTCCCGCTTGGCACTTGGAGTTTGCTCCTCAGGGAGTTAATCGTCAGAGTCTGACATCATCAGCATGGAAATCTCCTGCTGTTTTTTTTTTCCGCGGTGGCACAGCAGCAGTGTCCTCGGCATGCGCATCTGTCGGCACCATCTCCCCCTCCCGAACCAAGTGTCGCTGGTGCAGATGCTCAGCCTGGCGGACAAACTTTAAATCGTATAACATTTTATTAGTCAAGTCTTGAATGAGTCGTGCAAGACAAAACAGTATGGCATATGAATGACTGAATGAATAAATAAATAATTCATGGTAATAATAACAATAACATATATTAGTCATACTTCAATATATACAAGATCCTTCTTCTCGTTGTTGAGGAATCTCAGCTGTTTGAAGCGATGGTCCGGTGCAGAGGATAGGAGGTAAAGGCTGCTGGGATCCAAATCTGTCAGCTGCCATCTGCTGTCGATCTCCGCTATCAGTGTCTCCTTCATCTCTGCGATGGCAGGGCTGTCATCCTCCTCAGGTGAGAGGTGGCGTTTCTTCAGGTTGAAGACCATCGGCACAGTAGCAGACAGCGACAGATTCTCCTCCTGAGACAGCAGTTCTCTCAGTGTTATTAGAGGCCCCAGCACTTCTGTGACCTCCTGTGCCAGCTTCCACTGGTCTGCTGTCAGGTCCAGAGTAGTCACTTTTTTTTTTGTCACGTTTGGATCGGACAAAACAGCAGTCACTGGCCATCTCTGCTCAAGCAGCCGGCTGAGCATTTCGCGAGTTGAATTCCAGCGAGTGTCGACATCCTGAATAAGTTTATGTTCAGCAACATTCTGCTGCTGCTGTTTCTCGTGCAGGGCTGTTGTAGCCTTTGCACTTTTTTTGAAGCGTGCAGCAAGATTACGGGCAGCAGCAACAGTGCGGCGTATTCGCTCCTGTTTTAATGTTGCATTTATGCACAGCTGTAACGTGTGCCCTGAGCAGCAGACCCCTTGTACCTGGCTCCATTTTTCAGCTTCTTTGGCCAGCGTCTGGGTGCACAGCTTCATGTTGCTGGCGTTGTCATGAACAACCGCAACTCTTTTAAAATTAGGAATATTAACCCTAGAACACTAACGCTAAAATTAGTAACACTATCACTAACGCCTGGTATATTTTACCCGATATAATAATCTGGATAAAATATAGTTTTCATTAATTTATGTAAAAGTACAACGCTGTATGACAAATTGTAGTACTCTTCTTTAATTTCCCAATATACAATATCACATAAAATTAAAAAAAGGTACCATGGGGGACCCTATAAAAAAGCAGCAAAATTATTGAAAAATCAGGTAATCCTTAACGAGAAATTCCCAAACAGAAAAAATAATGGAGCTGGGAACTTGTTCTTTGGTCCACCCATTCCTGGGACATGTGAGCCTTGTCTGGTGAAGGTACAGTCTTCTTGCATCACTGACAACTGTGGCAGAGATTGACAAAAAATGGCATTTTTTGAGAGGGGAAAAATTGCCAAATTTTTTTGACTACATGAATTTCCTTGGAAAGACTCCATACCAGAACCAAACTGTGCCTTCACCAGACAAGGCTCACATGTCCCAGTCCTACAATTTGTCATACAGTGTTGTACTTTTACATAAATTGATGAAAACTATATTTTATCCGGAATATTATATCGGGTAAAATATACCCGGCGTTAGTGATGGTGTTACTAATTTTAACGTTAGTGTACTCAGTCAGGTATTTCACTGATTTTCTGGACATTTCTTTTTTCCCCTCTCTCTGAGTGCTACAGCTTCACTTGTAGCTAGCTAGCTAAAAGCTTAGCTTGACTAGAAAAAAGAAATCTGCGTAGCTAACGATTGCAGATGTCAATTAACATTACTACATGTTAATCACTTGTTAGCATGCCATAGAAACTAAGCTTGTGACAGGATGAGAGCTGTGGATGAAATGGGGCAGAGAATGTGGCTAACCTGAATGTTGTTTCCCTTGAAAAGTGCAAAGAGTGCCTGATTTCAACACACAAACACTATATTGGGTAAATTCCACCCATAAAATATGTTACCCTCTATCACTAATGTCGGGTGAAAATCACCCAAACGCATATCTCTTGAAAAAACCATAGATGGGAGGTGGTAAACAAACATACCATTAATGACATCAATGAGCAGCCTGAAGCTACCCAAGGACCCATGCAGCTCAGACAGCAGCAATACAATGAAAATCACAACAAAAATCGTGCGGGTGAAAATCACCCGGCATTAGTGTTCTAGGGTTAAACGCCTCCACCGCTTCTCCGAGTTGTTGTGCTATATTAAGCCCGGTGTGGCTTGCCTCCATTTTTTTGGTTTCTAGCTCAAAGTCACGGAGTTCCCACTCGTGAGTAATGAAGTGACATGTGACAGCCATGTACGCCTCCATACTCACTGATGTCCAAATGTCAGTGGTGAAACTCAGGGCAGTGGAGTTTTGAAGTAGAGTTGCGACGTAGCCCCGGAGATGGCTGTGCTTCAAAGAGAGTGCCTGTGAAATGCTGGCGCGTTTGGGGACAGTGTACTCAGGCTCCAGCGTTTTCATTAAATTTCTGAACCCATCACCTTCTACCACACTAATGGGTCTCATGTCCATGGCAATAAAATCCACAATGGCATCTGTTTTTTCGTCTTTCTTTTCTCCGACACTGTTTTTTTGAAATGAAGGGTCTGCTGCGTGTATTTGGGGGTGGGGGGTCGAGGCTGAAGACTTGATGGCAGCGATGCCTGGGGATGCACCTATGGACAAATTATACTATTAGGCTCAGCAACCAGTCCTAATGTTAATTTAATTATCGGCCGGTTTAAATATTTTCCATGCAAACAAAGTGAGTGAACTTTATTTTAGTAACAGTTAGCATCTGAGCTTCCTCATGGCAACAGTGGGCTACACAAGTAACTGGCAATGCTAACTATAGATTTATACAGAAAAAACAGCAGCTACTTACAGCATTCAGGTGACTTTTCATGCTGCTTGTACCCCCATGGTAGGCCAGTTTTAAATGACAAATTTGGCACACTGCCTTTGTCTTGTCTTCATTTAATGCGAAGTATTCCCAAATAGCTGAAGTCTTCGGCATTTTGTCTTGTTTGGAGACGCGAGAAAAGTGAAACGTGACGTCAGACTTGGTAGACAGCCAGCTGCGGCGACGGCGGGGCGGTGCGCTGTGCGTGCGCTGTGCGTCCGCCGGGCATCGGCGACTAGGCGGTGCGCTGTGTCCGTGGTGGCGGCCAGTATTAGTAACATTCTTATAAATTAAAGCTGCAAGCAGCGTTGGTCGGGTCCTCGGTCTGCGTTGGACCCTCATGCCCGTCTGACCTCCATTTTGACACAATTTAAACCTGCTTTAAGTTGAAGGAGCCATGTTTGTCTGTCTGCTCAGCCTCAGACTGTCAGTGAGTCACATGACCAGCTGCACTGAGCTGTGATGATGTCATGATGACTCAGCGTTTTTTGTGCCCCTGGCTGAGAGAGCTGAGAGTTTTACTCACTTTCTCTCTCCCATACAGCCACAATTTTCACCAAATATGTGTAAAAACAGCATATTTGTGTGGTAAATCTTGTTTGGAAGCCCTCAGTGTCATTTTTTAAAGCTTTAGGACCTTTGGTTTCTTGTGTAGATGACCAACTGACACAGCATGTCTGGAGATGTCCCATAGACACCCATACAAAGTATGAGCCAAGGCTGCGACAGCTCATGAATTTTAGCGGCTCGCCATTCGAAAACCGTCTGGGATACGCCAAATCCCTTCAGAACTTTTGTACATCACGGGATTCTCTGTCTCTTGTGCGATTTTCAACTTGATACGATTTACGGTGTCAGACAAGTTAATATTTTTTCAAAAGATGTTTTCAGTCTTTTTTTTTTTACTTTGAAAGGCAAATTGTGAACTTCCTGTTTGACATAGGTCAGGGGTGTCAGTGCGAGATTTTTGGTCTCATTGAGACGAACATTTTGATGTTGGTTTGATCTCTGTACGACATTCCTACTGGGCGCTAGGGCTGTTTTAGTGTGTTTTTCTGTAACTAGGTGGCGCTAGAGAGCCTTTTTTTTTTTTCATTTTATTAAAATTTTCGCCGATTCGGAGGTGCGTGCCAAGTTTGGTGAGTTTTTGAGCGTGTTTAGGGGGTCAAATTAAGGGTAAGGCGGACCCTAATAAAATATATATCAACGAAAGACAGGGGGGGAATAGTCGGAGATCAGAATTGGTATTCTGACACAGGTACTCCGAACGAATAGTCGGCTATTCGGCTATTCGGGTCCAGCCCAACCGGACAGTGAACGTCGCTAAAATTGTAGCGCTCGGTTGTGATTTGGACATACAACACCACTTTATTTAAATTGCTTTTAGTTACTGGATCCTGAAGAAACGCTCTCTCATCTGGTATGTACAGCAAAATGACAATAAACTTGATTTAATTTGATTTCTTAGCTACGCAATAAACTGTTAAATTGATGTGTTTGTACTACGCTGTTGCAGCACAAATCGCGGCTAGCGAGCGACGTAATTAATAGCTCGAGTAGTGTCCGAAATGATACTTCGCCGAGGTGCTCCCTGTTATGTATTGCTTTTGACATTTTGAAAATTGTCCCTCCTGTGTTACCACCTTTACGTTCGGCACGTACAGCCGATTCCTGTGGCAGAGTTACGCTGCAAAATACACCATGCTTGAAGTTGCTCCGGTCTCTCGCCTCTTCATTAATTTTATACAAGCAAGTATATAACACTCCCTATAAAGTGCACTACATAGTGCACTATATAGTGATCACTATATAGGGAGTAGGGAGTAGGGAGTAGGGAGTGAGTGGGTGATTTCGGACACAGCCCTGGTGACTGTGAAGGCCATAGTGCATGATTTACATACTTTTTATACTCACTGAACAATTCAGTGACTTCACATGCCCTATGGATGATATGAACCTGACGGCTTGGTTGTGTGTGCTTGCTTTTCGTTTGCATGTACAGAGTGTGATCTCTGAGCAGCAGCAACCCAAGAACAAATACACAGTGAAATCCCTGAGGGAGCTGGAGAGTCGCTTTTTGACACAGCAAGCGAAAAAAAAGCAGGAGGCTGAAGTTGCTTTGCTTCAGAAACAGAAGCTACAGGAGGTAATGTGATCTTTTAAGTGTGAAAACAACACAATACAGCAGCTGCAGCTGTTGTTTCATTGCACAAAGCAGACACAGTATAGACTCTACTAATAAAAGTAATACAAGTTAGCTGATGACTTCTGAGATTTGATTCCACCAGGAGACTGTTGATGCATGTCATACACTTCCTCCTCCATGCTTGACTTTCTGTCATCTGTCTTCTACCAGTCTTCTGTTTGATAAAGACAAAACTCTGTATTTTAATATTTAAGGTTATAATTCTGAAGAGCTTCATTATGTGGAACCCTATTTTTAATGTCGTTTATTGCAAGGTTGTTTTTTTTAAAGAGCTATTTATTGTTGTTGTTTTTTTTTTTGCAAAAACAGAGAATACAACAATGGATAAGTCCACTGTTTGTTTGGCTGTGATGTAAGCTACTGTTGTCACAACACCAAAACTCTGACTTTGATACAGTACCTGCCAAAACTGAAACAATACCACTGCACAAACCTAAAACATCACAAAGAGTGATGGACTATTAGATGCCAGAACATGGAATTTGTCATTTTTTATTCATTAAAATTAGATAGATAGATAAATAAATAAATAAACAAACAAAAAACAGAAAATCATTTGACAGAGCCAGTACAAGGTGTAGGTGAATTTTAAAGCGAGACATTAAACTCTTTCCCTCCATGAGCAGGAGAGCGAGCTGCGGCCTGCCGACCACCTGCGGGGACTGCGGGTACACTGCTGGGTGCTGGTGCTGGCGAGGAGTCGTAGAGTCAAGGAGAACTTCTTCATCGACCCTCTGACTGGGAACAGCTACGCTACTGACAGCGACAGCTTCCTGGGCATTGAGAGCATGTGGAACAATCTCAACTACTATGTTAATATGCAGGACTGCAGTAATGGCTGTGCTGTGAGTCCAAGACACCTAACCTAGACATAATATACCGTCAGATTCACAGTCAACTGACACAGTACATGACTTCTGCAGGTAATGACATGTACCTGTCTTCTGTGTTTTTCTTATGTGTGTAGGAGATGGTGTATGACGTGGAGGATTTAAAGATGTGGGAGCCAATGTTGTATGGTGCAACCAGCAAAAAGGAGCTGATTCTCACCGTGCAGAAGAAACAAGAGAGGAGCCTGATGAGCAAAAGCACCAATGAGGAGGAGGTACCTAATACGTGTGTTTTTGTGTGTGTACAGTATTGTAAAACTGGCCACTTGTTTGTCATTAAAAAACTGTGATTTAAGCCATCCATAGTGAGAGTTACAACTAACAAATTTATTGACCGTTAAACATGATATCACCGGTGCCCTTACAGCTCACCTGGTTGAGCAGGCGACCCATAACAAGGGGGTACAGTTACCCGGTGTGGTGTTCGTGAGTTTGACTCCCGCTCACGACAGTTTGCTGCAAGGTCTCCCCATTCTTCTCCTCCCTTTCCTGTTTCACTCTTTCACTGTCCTGACTTAAAAAAGGCAAAAACGCCAGAAAAATAATCTTTAAAAAAAAACATGATATCACGATAAATGAACTTAATTGTAAACTGATTGTTGTTTGTTTTGAAGGAGGGCCAGCCCAGAGTTTTTGAGATGCCGAGATCTTGGGTTAGTTACATCAGTATCTCAGACAAAGGTACATGTGAACATTATTTGTCTGACACCAACTCTTTACATTATACATTGATACTCTACCTATTTGTTTTCATGGTAAAATTAATGGTATTGTCATTCCTTCTATAAAAATATGGGTGAAATACTGACAAGATTTTCAGTACCTTAATGCAACCTTTGCTAACAATGTTCAAGCCATGATAAAATTCAGCATAGGGTGAGATCTACCATTCAGAAATATAAGAAATAAAAGCCCATGAAGATGAGAATTTAAAACCGTAAAGCTGAGTGTGAGCTGAAAGCCCTTTTGAGATTGTTCCACACACTTTCCCAAGTTCTGAAGGCAGAACATGGGTGAGTGGGTGAGGTCTCTTCCTGTTAAAAGGTCTGTTGTTTGAAATGTGCTGTATGAGTAACAGTGACTTACTTTCAGCTGACCTTTTCTTGTTGTCATCTTACTATTGTTCAACCATTTATTTGTTGCTTTTAGCTGACAGGTTACACTTCTCTGCTTTTTTCACTACCTAGTTTTCTTGCCTCGGTGAAGTGCAGTTCTGCTTTTTAACCAAATTGGAGTTCATGTTTAGTACATAAATCCAACTAAAAAGTGTCAGTCTCACTTACACAAACTGCCTGCTCTCTGCTGTTGTTTAGACATGGAGAACCGCTGGCCGGGAGGGAAGACGGTGATACGCTACAGGAAATCAAAGCTGGAGAGGTTTGCACCAGGTCTGAGTTCTGTTGGCCTCATCACACGACTAACTACATACAAAGACCTGGAGTGTAAGTAATAAAAAAAAAACTTTTTTGAGTGAATTCAGCTTTTTTCTGCCATCATGAGGAGAAGAAGGCAAGCAGCTTCCTTTGAAACTGTGTTCAGTTTGTTTGGTATGAGTAACAGCTGGGCACTAAATGTGGTGATTTAGGTTCATGCCATTTGAATTTGTCTGTGCAAAATGTGTAATCTGTGTGTGTGTGTGTGTGTGTGTGTGTGTGTGTGTGTGTGTGTGTGTGTNAAAAAGAAAAAAAAAGCTTGATATGTTGAGTTAAATGAAAATACAAATATTCTGAGTATATGTGCCGTGTTCCCCCGCTGCTTCTGTTATCATCCCTTGCTCACTCATTACTCTGACTTTCATATAGTCTAACACATGTAAAAGCCGACACACTGATATTTTCAGGGTATTGAGTTTAAAGAAATAGTTTATTTGAAAAAAAGTAATTAATGCTCTTTCTGCAGAACAAAATGTCTTAAACGTTAACATTAAATTAAACGTCAATATCTTCCCAAAATGTAAACGACCTACGTGCTGCTGTCAACTGCAGTCAGTTGGGAATGTACAGTTAAAATGACATTAAGCGTTAATTTAATGACATTAAATGTTAACTTAGAAATACACCTGAATCGGTATTGACATCTTCTTCTTCTTCCTGGTTTATTGGCGCGCATTGCCTTCTTCTTCTTCTTCTTCTTCTTCTTCTTCTTCTTCTTCTTCTAATGCTTTGGCACGCATTGCCTTCTACTGCTTCTCTACCTGCGCACCACCACAGCAGGCGGGGGCATGGTGTGTAAGGGGCCGGGGGGCGTGGTGTGTAGGGGGCGTGTTGTGTAGGGGGCGTGTTGTGTAGAGGGCGTGGTGTATAGGGGGCGTGGTTTGCCACGGCTTCGGGGACTTACCGGCTGCAGTCAGGTATTTTTGGGCGGGGGCATGGTGTGTAAGGGGCCGGGGCGTGTTGTGCAGGGGGCGTGTTGTGTAGGGGGCGTGGTTTGCTGCGGCTTCGGGGACAGCACCAGCTGCAGTCAGGTGTTATTGCACTAACCCAGCAATATGGACCATCATGCATTGCATCTTCTACTGCTTCTCTACATGCGTGCCACCACAGCAGGCGGGGGCATGGTGTGTAAGAGGCCGGGGGGGGG